ACAGGAATTGTGTTTTGGCATTCTGCCCTAGTGTCTCTGGTTCACAGTCAAGTTGAGCAATGCACACCTGTTCTTTATGTGGACTTCAAATTCTTCAGGAATTTTACTGAAGCTGTATTTTGGCACTATGTTTCTGTTAGCAATCTTTTTCAACTTTCCTCTGATTTTTAATATTATAGTTTGTGGTCACTACTGCAATCTGCTGCTGGGCTTGTTTTGACAGTGAAAATTCAGTTTCTCCACCTTCTGCTTCCAATTACATAATCTGTTTGATTTCTGCATTAGCCATATGGTGATGTCCATGTATACAGTCATCTGAATGGCTGGATGAGGTATGTATTTGCGATGAACAGTCTGTTCGCTTCACAGAATTCTTTGAGTACTTCTTTGCATCATTCTTTACCCTTCAGCCAAATTCTCCTACAATATTTGATTCTGCTTTGTTTCTTGCTCTTGCACACTAGGATTATCAGCATGTGTTGTTTTGGTATGTTATTAATTTCTTCTTAGACACTGCACAGAAGTTTTCAATTTCTTCTTCTTCAGCATCTATTGTTGGAGAATATGAATGATGATTATGTTGATAGGTTTTCCACTGATTGATAAGATTCTGATTGATATGATTTGGTCAGATTTTGCATTATAGCATTTCAGCGCCTATGCTACATCTTGCCTCAGTATTACAGCTACTCTGTTTCTTCTGAGTTTTTCATTTTCAGAGTAAAACAATTTGTGTTTGTCTGACTGAAAATGTCCCATTCCAGTCCTCTTTAATTTGTTCACACCAAGTACTGTGATGTTTAGCTGTTCCGTTTTTTGCTTTATGGTTTCCACGTAGCCTTGATTTATACTTCTGACATTCCATGTTCCAATTGTATGTGTTGTACAGCACTGGACTTTCCTTTCACCTCTGTGCATGTTGGCCACTATACTTCCTTTCTGCTTTGATCTAATTGCATCATTGGCTACAATGCTATTTGCACTTTCCTAGTATTTATCCTAGTGCCTTCCAACCTGGGAGGTTTCATCTTCTGGCACTATCTCTCGTTTCATTTTGGATTGTTTCAACAAACAGTTTTCAAGGTAAGAAGATGCAGAAGTGGTTTGCCATTGCCTTCTTCTATACAGTACTCACACAATCTTTCATTGTTCATGAAAGATCCTCTGCCAGTGTTACATTCAGCTACTGTTGCTCAGTAGCTGCCCTTCAGAAGTTTCTCTGTCCTCATCACCAATACAATCTTCTGCTGATGTAAGCATTATTCCTGGAGAGGGTGGAAGCATCCTAGTTTAGTTCCTCAGTTTTGACATTTCGCTTTGGGTGACCATGGTAGGAAACCAGGCTAGTGAGACAGTCTAGGCAGCATTGCTCTCAGCTGCTCTGACCCTCTTAAACCCCATCACCACATTAAAGTGTGCACCCAAGGAGGTAACTCAAACTTCATACATGCACCCTTTCTCAGTGTCTAGAAAGCCTGAACAACATCTGTTTATTTCTTTAAGCCATAATTAGAGAATTACTTTGGCAATTTTATATAAAAGACCCATCATTTACTGCATAAGTGTAATTCTCTTTGAGTCTCATCATTAAAGCTTTTCTTACTATGTGTAGCTAAAGGCCAGTCTGACCCATTTTGTAAAATCTCTTATCTAAGTAATATGAATGCATTCATCAGTCACTTAGAAATTACAATGCTAAAGAACAATAATGAAGACTTCTGAAAATCAAATCTATGCAGTACTCATAGGTCACTGAAGGTTGTAAGTAAACCAAGTCAATTTTCACACAGCAGTTCTCTAACTTTCATGTCAGAGGTTTTTGTACTGCAATGAAGTCATTTTTTTTACAATGTCTTATATTGTCTATTGTTATGTGCTGCCAAACCATAAAAGAAAAATGCATATCTAACTAGTGGCTATAATATGAAGAATTTCAATACTACAACATTTGTTATATTTATTGTTGTGTGCATGCTAGGGTGGCTGTTTGTGCATGAGCAGCTGCCCAGGTTTGATGGGAACTGAAGCTCAGCTAATGAGGATGAGATGGGTGCTCAGCTAATGAGGATGACATGCCCAAGCCATAGACCAAGGTCAGGGAACATCTGGGGGGGTAGAGGGGGAGGAGTTGACAGTTCTGGCTGATGAGATCCCTGGTCCCACACATCTCACAGCAGGGGTGTGGGGATAGAGAGCTCTGTAGTTTGTCACTCAGAGAAGGCCCTGCTCCTGAAGAGATGGCAGTGGTGTGACAAATGGGAAAATGAGGCATGATCTCACAGTCCTCCACCCTCAGAAGCATGGTGCCAAATGGGTTATAAAGAAACAAGGGAATGATGTATGTCAAAGAGGGCTCAACATTTCACTCTGGGTGAACTCCAGGGCATGTAACAATAAAGTCTATTGGAAACACAGTTCTGGAGTAGTGTGTTTACTCAGAAGGAGAATGCCATCTGATGACATTTACAACCTGTCTTTCACTGGACATTCTGAGCTTCACTCTACTCTTACATTAAATTCAAGTAAAGTTGGTTGGCAGAGAGAGAGAGACTTTGTCAAGGTCACCTAGTGCACTTCATAGCTGGACAGATATTTAAAACTAGTTTTCTCTTACATGAAGTCAATACCCTTGGCACTGAATGCTACAAATAAGAACAGACTTTATGCTAAGTATGTGTAGGGGGTAACATCCCAACAGGCCAGTAGACGTTTAGGACTAATTCAGATTATGCATTATTTGCCCATTCAGAAATTTTAGCATTCCTATTTTCAAGCATATAAAGCTGTCTTCATGCATGTCAAACTTTGGGCCAACTTAATCCTATTTCTCTGGTAGTGGACCTCCATGGTCTTAAGCAAAATTTTTCCCACCCCTCTTATTTGAGATATTTTAATGGAGATGTCAGAGATTGTCTCTGGGACCTTGTACATGCAAAGGACTGAACCAGTGAGTTTTGGGCCCCCTTACTTGGGCAGTTAAATAAAATGCATACAATCAGTTGTAATTTCTGGAGTGCACTGGTACATTTTTCAGGGTTATTTGTTTTAGCCTGGCTGGCACAATGTTTTTCTGTCTTAGCCAGAAATAGCTGACATATAAAAAGATTAGGATATCTTTTTAGTAGCCTTTAGTCAAGACAAAAGGCAAGAGTGGCTGATATCTGTTAGCACTGTATAGCTGAGTAAACAAAAAAGTGAGGGAATCGTGGTTCCTGATCAAAAGCTGCATTACAATATCGGGTTGAGACAAGTTGTTTCAAGAGTATATTTATACTCTGTTCTTCAGATATTTCATATTCCTTTTAAAAATAGGAAGACTATACAAAATGTGATTACGTATTTATATCACATCCTGGGGCAAACACAACTATTCAAGGTTGCAATCACAATGCGTAAAAATACATTTCTATCCCCCCACCCAAAAAATAAACTAAGGAGATGAAATACCTATGTTCTCTAAGATGAATGTACAGAATTCCAAATTGGGGCTAAAGACAAACTATGATATATAATCTACCTTGAAGTTTGAATGGCCTTCATTCATTTAGATCAATATGTTCTGCTTTTTCAGCCAGTCCTCTTCTATGATATAGGTTGGGCTGAGAGTCTGTGACTGGCCCAAAGTGATCCAGTGAACACCATGGCTGACTGGGGACTAGAACCTGGAACACCTGAGTTGTAGCCCAGCATTCCTAACCACTACACCACACTGGCTCTCTTTATTTTTGTTCTTTAATTTTTAGTCCAATATTGAATATTTCATTACAATATTTCCATAGAGTAATACATCCTCTGGAATGGTGGGAATGGATTTTGACAACCCTGCATGGTTACCTTGGTTCACAGTTTATCATGATGTAGCTGACAGACAAGTGATTTCTACTTTTAGCATGGTTTCCATCCTCTCGTCTTCCCACTGTTGGCATGTATCCCATCAGCATCTGCTCCTGAAATACAGTCCCACAGTGCATAGCCTTCCTATGTTGCCTACATCTATTTATATGTTCCTCACACATAGATTCTAGTGAGCTGGTTCCTGCAGTTCCACTCTTTCCAGAGGACTCTGTAGTAGTTGCATACTGGGACTGTAGAAACCATGATCCTGGGTTCAGGCAACATGACAAGTCATGGTGCTACAGAGAAACCATAGAACAAACCATTATTTCTCATCATGGTTTCTAAAGACAAAACGCACTATGATAGAATACCATGACAGGTTCAGACATCACAAAAGACCAACAATTGTTGTAAACCAGCATAGCATTTTGTATCTTTCAGACCCAGTCTGTGTGTGTTATAGAATCTGGCTGAAGAACTCATTGGGATGGGAATCAACTTTTATATATTTGTCAGGCTGTTGTTCAATTGCCAGTCTGTACATAGAACACATGCCAATATTTCCAGAGCAAAAATTGAGTCAGCCCTGTCGTCACCAAGAAGGTACTGGGGAGCAGTGAAGAGTGATTATTTGGTATTGTATATGAGTTCTTGGGTTCATAGGTTTAGGATGTCCAAGGTTATGTTAAAATCCCATGTGCAGTGTTATCTTTCAGTAACTGAATTGGGCTCTCCTTGTTCTTAAGTCATTCAGTGTATAAAGCAGCTTCTTCACCCATACCATGACATTACTGGATGCAATGGAATTAAAACCTCTGGGCAAGCCTCACCATGGCATAATTGGAAGGGTGGTACAGCAAGTAGTGAGATGCGCTAGAAGGAAGTAAAGTTGAGTTTAGTGTTGCGGGGGATTTCTTGGTGGGGAGGGGGTTCTGGCTTGGTGAGCCCTAAATCTTTTGTTGAATTTTATGAAGCAGTCTTCCTAGTTTTCTCGAATTTCTTAACAATATTTACATTAATCTTCCCTTTTTTTCTTTGTTTAAAGACACCTTTACATTTCTGGATCAATGATAGTCATAATTTTTTTTTCTTTTTGTTTCTAATACCTGAGCCTAGGCTTAATAATTAAAACAGTCCATCCGCACTAATAGTAGAAGACTTACTTTAATGGGTCAAGTCTCAACAAATGAGAAGAAGCTTTCATTACATAGTCAAGGTCCGATTTCGACATAAGGTTTTTCCCCATGGAACAATATCTGTGAAAGAATACATGTGAAAAATTATGTAGGGAATAGGACTCAAAATCCACATGGATTTTGCAGGGAAAAAACTGGAAAGGAGTGAGCAGTAGTCTAATTTTTGCAGACCCACATAGGGTTTTCACAGATATTTAGCTGTACATTTTTTTCCTGCAGAGGAGAAATGGCATTTTGGACAAAAGGGATAACAACTGATAGTTCAATAGTAATGGTTGTCAACTGGACAACTAGGAAGTATAAAGCTTATACGAAAAGTGCATGGAAAAATCACATAATAGAAAGATAGCCTATGCATGCAGTTATGTTGAAGACCATCCCTCTGAGCTTATCTGCAGGTTAGATGTTGATGAGTTTAAACTACCTCCTGTTCTCCAATGACAGCATGAAGTAAAGCTTAATCTCTTTGTCCTAAACTTAGAACTGGACCAGAGTCAACCCAAATGTAATTTAGAGAGTAGGCCTCAATCTGCAGTTGGCTCCAGTTTAGCCAACTCATGTTTCCCAAGGACTGAGTCAAACTTCAAGGATCTTTTACTTCTTGCATGATGCAAAAATATGCAACCTTGGCTATGCTTTTAGAACTAGGATTGTCATTAAATTGTTTTAAATAAGCAGGACAACAATTCAAGTGGAAGTATTTTTCACATGGAGGAGGATACAGTGTGTACATGAAAAGAGGCCACGTTTTCATTGGATTAAACCCTAATTGTGAATATGATTTCCTTAATTCTGAGGGTCTCCTTCTCACTTTCAGGCTTGAGAAACAATTTCCTATCCTATGTATATAGCTTCCTATCCACATCCCCACTACAGTTAAATAAAGAGTTCAAAAATTAACATTTTATTTGCTATTTCAAAACAGATACTTTGAGAATTCATTCAAGTAGTTTGGTTATAATTTGTAAGAAGCTGAAGAGGGGAGTACCTTTTTATTATCACAAATGTCTCTGCTGGTGATTCAAGTAGTACTTGATTCAGGTGATTACTGTGTATAACCTGTTTTACTTTCCATACAGGAAAGTATTCCAAGATGCATTAGCTACTGTATCTATACTATCTAAGCATTTATCTTCCTAAAGCCAAAGTGGCACCATACAAAAATACCCAAAGTTTCTATTTCATTGAACCTTTGCTTTAATAAATTAAATGCCGACTTCAGTTTAATGTCTTGGTAACAAACACAGATATCTCGAAAGTGACCTTCTTAATAGTTTAATGTTATCTTCCTAACATTGTTCAAGTAACTATGACAATTTGCTTAATTTTAAAGATTGAATAAATTTGAAATGCATTAATCTATACAAAAATTGCTGTTACTAAATAATTAATTGACTTCTCCTTCCAAAGTAGCATTTTGCTGTGGCTGTATGTGGTATTAAGGAAATTATTGCTTCTTGGTTGTGTGAGAAGTGTTGATTATAGATCATTTGATGTTTACACGCCAGTGAAGTTATTGTAAGATTTGTCTGTTGTTGTATGTCGTCAAGTCCCCTCAGACTTAAGGTGATGACATCTTTGTAATGTCTCCCCATATATTAACAAAAAGAATTCTGTCTGTCTTTTTCAAATGTTAAAATATCTTACTTCTATCCCTGAACAAATTGCTCTGTTCTCTGTAATCTGAAATATTTCTGGGTAATGCTAGGCTTGGGGGTTGGGCAAAACTGATTTCAGGTCTGTAATCTATGCCTACCAAATGAAAGGAGGGTGAGGACGAAGCTGCTCTCTATCAGTCTTCTGCTTTAGTTCTCCAGTGTACTTCCAGCATAGTCAGTATAGCAGGTTGCTACTGTCATCATTTATCAAACAGAGAATATAGAACTGACATTCCAAAAGTGAATAGATAATTATTTCACACTGGCATACTGATATAGCTGTTACAAGTATAGGCAGAATCAGCATCATCCCAAGGCTCCAGTGCATTTTGTGGGAAAAAAAGGATCACTTTTTAGTAATAAAAAATTTAGTTTCATAAGACTAAGATATCGATATCTTAGGCTCAGGGTATATGGATTATACAGCAGTGGATAAATACGTTGAAGACTCCTTATCGCCCATGCCAGGGTCCCATAAGAGGTCTCCTGAACTTTTTTGTTCAAGAAAAGAAGAAAAGACAAAACTGCTAGCTACATTGTTTAATTAATGTGCAGTTTGTTTCTTAGACAAATCAAGAAGATGCTGGAGAAAGGTGTGGGAATAGAGGAAAATTGAATGCCAAGTTAGTTTGATAGTTTGGTCCTTATTGTATACTGCAAGATAAACTTAAACTTGAATTTATTGCTTCATAATATAATATTCAGGAATATATATTGGTTTAAGCATATGCTCTTGGCAGTTTCAATCCCTGACCTTTCCAGTGCAGATGTCCACTGACCTCAGCCTATTCTGGCCCATACCAGCTTTAAGTTAATGATGTTATTTTTGCCTGGGTATCAAGCAACAGATCTGAAAAAGTACTGCTTAGGTTTGGGTTGATTGGATTCTAACACTCAGTTGTTTAAATTTTTTCTCCTGTAACACAGTTTCTCAGAATCCCTTGGGCTTCACCTTCTACCTTAGAAATCTTCCTAAGAGAAAAATTAGTTATAGGTTCCATTTCTGTATTACAATCTGGTGACTGAAAATACAAATACTCTCATTTTCTTCCCTTCTTGCAACGTGTGTGTGTGTGTGTGTGTGTGTGTGTGTGTGTGAGAGAGAGAGAGAGAGAGAGAGAGAGAGAGAGAGAGAGAGAGAGAGAGGGAGGAGAGGCAATAATGCAAAATACAAATAGTCTGTCTCCCCATACACACACCCTCTGTAGGTGTGACAAATAAGTAGAACAATTCCTTGCTTATTCTTTGCTGGTATAGTATGCATCAGGGGACATGTATCATCATTAAAAGACCATTTTGAGGTACTACAATCCACATCAGCCCACACATCCTGGGACATATGTATATAAGATAGCCCATCAAATAACTGTTGTAAACTGCCCTGAAAGTTTTGACTATGCACCATTATAACAATGAAATTATTAACATTGCCATCATTATTAATGTTAACAATTATGAAATAATGTAAAGTAGCTATGACATTCAAAAAATCCTAATGTGAGGTATCCCAAACTGCTGGGATCTGAGCTGATAGTGACTAACCAGGAAAGGAATCTTGGGATTCTGGTGGACAGCTTAATGAAAACATTGACTATGTGACTGCTGTGAAAAAGGCACACTGTTCCATGTTGGGTATAATTAGGAAAGACACTGAAAATAAAATGCCAGTGTCATACTTAAAACAAGTCTATGCACTCAGAATACTGTGTACACTTTTGGTTGCCTGACCTAAAAAAATGGTAATTTGGAAAAAGTGCAGAAACGGGCAACCAAAAAGAGAGAGATTGCAAGGTTTTGAAAGCTGAGATTGTGTAGCTTATAAAAAAAGATGAATAAGAGGAGACATGATAGAGGTACATAGAATTATATAATGAAGATGAAGACATTTTTCTCCCTCTCTTGTAATACTAGAACCTGGGATCATTCCCAGGTTGATTGGTGGGAGCTTCAGGACAAAGTCTTCATACAACACATAGTTATGTGTTGTATGTGGAATTCACTTCCACAAAACGTAGTGATGGCCACCAATTTGGATGCCTTAAAATGGATATTGAACAAACTTGTCGAGAAAGCAGCGGTCAATTACATATTAATTAAAATCAATGTTGTTAATGTCAGGTATGTTTATTCACTTGACATCCAATAAAATGTGGTATATCTGCCAGGTTAGCTCCCATAACCATAGTCATAACCTTAACCTTTTGCTTGTCTTAGCAGCTAACCCAGACCTGTACTTGCCATGAGTGAACAGTGGAGTATTGTCTGACTGAATTGATCAGCCCCAGCATGACTGTCCTTAGCTCTAACCTGGGAAGGAGTGTGGAGGTCATCTCTTTCGTGTCTCTGCAACACTCAGTAAGCAGTGACTGTATGTCTCTGAGGCTTGGGAGGACATTAAGACACCCTATCTCAAGCCTGGTGTGGATTCCCCATTCCCTTCTGCTGACTTTGGGTCTTCCAGATTTTCAAGTTCTTCCAAAGTCCACACTTGGGGAGCACTACCTTTGTTCATTTACAGGTACAGAAGGGAAACAGGAACTCTTTCTGACACTGCACTCTTGCAAGGCTAAAAGTCATGTACACTGGAGTGAGATGTTGACCACAATTGTGATAGCTGATAGTAACTAGTAATTATTACTAATTTAATAATTGCAGGTCTTTTTATTTGTCTGTTGGAAACCCTTGTACTAGGTCATCTTTTACCTATTATTAACACCTACTTTTTAAAATAGAAATGCCTATTTAGAAAAGTTCCATCTCTTTCTAAGCCTGCCAAATCACACTGGAAGATGAAGGCAGTTAATTCCACAAGTCTATTGTGTATTGATGAGGCTCTTGACTTGATGAAATCAAGGGAACCCAGTCAATCCTTGTGCTTGACCCTGCCTTAAATCTGTGTTGCTAAGATTTAATAACTTTTATAGCGGGGCAGGTAAGGAGGGCAGAAGTGGCAAGTTGTTTAAAAATGTAATAAATAATGATTAATGAAAATGTACATTTAGAGAAAATATTTGAATTTGCAGTGGCATCTTATGTTGATTACTTCTTATTAAAGAAACTGTGATTAATTCAAACACTTAATTTTATGTAATGTTGTTCATAGTTCTTGCTTTTCATATTCCATTTTTCCATCAATATACAATGCTAGAGGGAGCCTGAATTTCTTAATTAGTTCTCCATTTGGGGGAAAAATACCTCCTTATTCTGTTACATTGCTGCATCCCTGCATTAACCTCTAAGGTAAATCATACCCTTTTTGGGTTATTTCCTGGAAAAAAGTGAGGAATCTGCATAAAACTCCCAAGTGTACATTTCTGTCTTATAGAAGATGTATTGCATTTTGTATGTGTTACCTTCCAGATAGTATACAATATTTATTAATTGTTCTCTCTGGGAAATGTGTACATGTGTTCAGAACTTCATTTTCATTTTTTAAAGCAGCTACTCACTGTGTCTAGTGGTGGCAGTTTCTTGAGTCAGGTTAAAATCTGGGTATCATGAAGAATTCTATTAGAAATATGCCTTTGTATGAATCTGCCTGGATTTGGAGTATGGACACATAGGCTCTGTGTAAAGGCCCACCATTAAGATCTCTTAAGATGCAGAGTAGAAAAGACAAGCGACCCCATTCCTGTAGAACCTCCTTGCATGGGTCCTTCACTAGCTGTTTTTAAATAAGCATTAAAGTCTTAGTTACTCCTACCTGCTTCCAACTGAATAAATTTTTGATTTACACCAAAAATTTAACTACCTGTTTTATCTGTGTATTCTGTTAGATGGCTACCACTTTATGTTTTAAATTGTTTGCATTCTTTTAATTGTGAATTGCCTTGAGACTGCTTTTGGCCCTGAAAAGCAACATAAAATACCTAAATAATTAAACAGGAAACAGCACCTGAATAATTAAATATTCCAGTTAAAGAGGTTTGACTAAATTTGTGTTTTTCAGCCAATTTGGGGGAAAGCCAGGAATTTATTCTGCACATTCCCAGGGCCAGCAGTATGAGAATGAGAACAGCAGTAAGGACAGGCAATACTCTTTGAGTAACATCTTGTCTACTGTCACTGCAATGTGCAGTTGAACAAGAGTGTGCAGTGTATTACATGTCATGCACATAGTTCACGCTTCACAACAATATGTTCTAGAACATGCTCTAGAACTCACTGCAGCACTGGACTTGCAAACACAGATTTGATAGGCAATTCTATCTGGAAGGGTTTCCTGAGGGTAGGACGTCTGAAAAACACTGCAATATGTAATACTAATACTGCAAATAATGTGCATTGCTCATCTGTTACCCTGGTCTGGGTGCTTCTTCCTTTTATGGCACCACTGTGGCATCAAAAGTATTGCATTTTAATTCACCCATTTTCAGTATTTTAAGTTTGCTTATCTATGCATTTTATCTGCTGTTAAGGCCATGTTATGACTTTAGTAAGTCTTTTTTTTTACGTTTGGAATCAATTTTGATGGCAATATATAAATATTTGAAATAAATAAAAACATAAAACTGTCAGCTTTTAAGTGAGGCTTTATACTTAGAAGTTTGGAGTTTTGATTTCAAATGCATGAGAGGTTGTGACCCCTCTTAGAAAAGGCAGACAGAATCAGCTGTCTATGGTTTATACTGCAATCCTATGCACATCCTCTTCTGAGTTAACATGCATAGGCTGACACCCTTACTTTCAGAATGGATAACTGCATTTTTTCTATTGAACTTCTGCAACAGTATGCCTTTCAAATGCTTTGCCAGACTTTTGTCTACTCTGACAATTAAAATATGCATTTTCAGTCACATTGCAACTTTATTAGTATTTTTTTCTGGGATCAATTTAAAGTTTTGGTTTTAGCCATGGCATCAGTAAATGTTCTTGGAACTCAAAGGCCATCTACTTTAAAACCTGTCTCAGAGGACCTATGTTCTGTACCATTGTGACTGTGTAATGAGAGACAGAGCCTTTTCAGTAATAGTTCTACAGCTCTACAACACCTCCTAGTAGAAAGTCATTAGGCTCCACTTTTGCTATCTTTTAGGGAGAAGTGAAAAACCTTTTAATTTATGAATTTAGGCTATGAATGTGCTATTGCTCACACTCTTTTAAAGTACTGTCTTCAGAGGGAGTTTTATTTTTAAAGTGGTATGAGTTAATTGTATTATATTTCTTTTGTCTGAAGTAAGCAGCTCAGGTGCTCTCCAAGCAGAAGGGGTAAAAAAAAAAAATTAACAAAGTCAGGGATTGTTAGCAAATGCACAAAAAGTTTCATGCTTTCACAGAATACTTCAGGCTAGTAAATTAAGAACTGTAAGGCGGCAGTCTAATGAAAAGCTCAGTAACAAATTAAAACTGAGGTCAGTACTTGTGGCCTTCCATATTTTGGCCTTTGACCTACATCAGTCCTCGCCACTGCTGAGGGGCATCTGGAGGCCCACAAGTTACCCTATCCTGCTTTGAATCTTGAACATTGCACTATTTCATCATTTATATCATGCCCACATAATATCAGTTCATTTTAAAGGAACTTCTAATTGCATCAATAATTAGATGAGTTCCAAACTAACTTGAGAATGAATTGACTATTAGAGTGATGAAATATGCAACAGAAATACATTCATATTTGAAGACTGAGGATTGAAATGTAACATACGTTACAATTATCAGAGTTAATATTTTGCTTAATTCATTAGGCTTATACTAGAAAATATCTAAAACTCAAAAAGCACTACTTTTTTGTAAGAATTAACTCTAGGCATTACATTCAGAGATTAACACAATATAATGCTAGACTAAGAAGTAATTCCTGTTGAGTTTGGTGAGGCTTGAGCTCAGGTAAGTGTGTCCAGAATTGCAGCCTAAAAGTTTTAAAATTCTTTGTTGATGTTACAAAATGTAAAACTCTTTACAAAGCTTTGAATGTTTTTCTTCTATTGTAGACAGGCAGATGCAAAGACAGTTATACTGAGACATTCAGCACAACCAGTTAAAGGCATATATTAAAGTATTTGAATCTTCACATTTAAGCAAGTAGAAGCAGTGGAAGTTTGTACTGCTGTATTGAAAACTAACAAACTTGATTTGTTAGGGTCCAGGGAGTCAAATAAATGCTATAAAGATTTTGGGCCATTTTAAACATGTTTTCTTAAAATGTTAATGAATTTATTCCAGGGAATAACACAATCCATTTATATGCACAAGTCTACATTTAACACACCCTCTATTCAATTGGTTACTTAGGATGAAAGCAGCATTAGAAGCCAAGAACAATGCAAATGTGTACTGATAATTTCAGAGCAATGCTGGGAGTCAAAGTGAGATGTGGGGGAATTACACAAAATAGTTAGAAAGTATGGAGGGATGTGAACTCTAAGATTATTTTGATATATATATATATATATATATATATATATATATATATATATATGTATACTAAAAAGCAACCAATAATTAACCAGCAAATAAAGATAATGCAACCTTAAATGGGTGAAGGAAGAGGATGTGTACCAAATGTCAAAAGCACAAAAGTTGCAATTATCAGATAAAGACTTAATTAGCTGAGTCTGAGTAACTAGCTATTCTTGTACAAGTAGATCTGAGTAGCACTTATAGAAAATTGTAGAACACAAACAGGAGAACGTGTAAATGTTTAAAATAAAATAGTTTCTCATTCTAGACACTGCTTTATATTTTAGATGGTTTCAACATTCTATTGAATGCTTTCTTATTATTAACCAGACTACTTTATTTTTAAAGAACTAAGCAAAGATTTCTTCGGTGACTGAATGGAATTGACATTAGCTTTAAAAGGATGTTTTGAACCAAATTTATAGAAATAGGTTGTTTTATTTTTTACTATTCTTTAAAAGTGATCAGGTTGTTATCAAGGGCATGCTTATGTTAGGATCACAATTACACTTAAAAGCTGATTTTTATATGTACATTAGAAAGAAAATGGAATAGACTGAAGGTCATCTGCAGCATGAGTACATTAGTGTCCAGCTATACATGTACTGCAGGTATGAGGAACCAAGTATTCTTATTTCATGAAAATAATTCAGCAAGATGATTCAGGTGCAGTAGAATATGTTTTTATAGTAGTCCTCACACATATGGAGTAAAACAAAGACATATAATTGAAACTGCAAATTGCTTAGCAGAATATATGCAAACTATATTAGCAAAAACAGTACTCATACTTATTAAGGAAGATTCCAAAAATAGCTTACCCTTCTCTATGAGCTTCTCCTTTTTCCAGCTCCTGAATAACACCCAACAAGACCTTTATGGTTTCCTGGCTTGAGCTGATCAAGTTCTCCATCATCTGTAGCTGTGCTTTCAAGTCTACCACTTCTGTGTGAGGCACAATTTGTTGGCATTCTTCACTCACAGCAACTGCTGACTGACAAGGCTGTTTCCCTTCCATAGGTGAAACATGTATCTGAAGGGTCTGTTCATTACATTCGGTGGATTGGCACTGTGCCTGGGTTGGACAGGCCTGAGCTGCACTTACGGCTTGTGATTGCAGACCATTAAGATGCACTGTTCTTTTTTTGTCGTCCTCTGTTGGGTACAAAGACCAGTCATTCCCTGCTGCTGCAGAATCTGGCAAGTCAGTCTGTGAGATATGTGAACTAGATGCAGGCAAGTAGACAGAAGCTACTTCTGTCTTGAACACTTTCCCATGAGTAGATGGATTAGCCTCCTCTTTCCCCAACGGCCCAGTGTGGTGTTTTGCTTTGTCATGCAGCTGGTAATCAGGCTCTTCTAAAGCAGAAGCTGCTGAGTTTTGAAGAGAAGGAGGTTCTTTAGTACAGCTGTGCAAATCAGTGCTTCTACATGTCTTTGAACAGTTGTCACTAGAAGGCTGCTCTATTGCATTCATGCGTTCATTAGTATGTGAAATAAACTCAGCTGTCACAAATCCTGTGACTTTCTTGCTACACTGAGCAGCCTCCCCTGAGATTTTGTCATCTTTGTTTTTAACATCTATTAGAAATCCATTATTTTGGCTTGGAAAAGTGTCAACAGAAGGTATGCTTTTGATGATACTTCCCTTTTTCCGGTCCAAAGGGAAAGTCTGGTAACACTTTTTAAGTTCAGGTGATGTCTGAACTCCTGTACTTTTAGTAACGTTAGGGATTGATCTGCGGGCAGGCACTGTCATATACTTCCGGTAAGCTGTTCTGTAAGAGATGGGCTTTGCTTCCTTTTTGTCACTTTGTTGTAACGTAGAAAGCTGTTTGTCCCTCTGCTCATTTTGGGCCTCACAGATGTCTTTGAATCTCACCTGCAGGGCTTTGTTTCTTTTCTTGATCTGCCGGTTGGGATCCAGTGCGTATTTCATCTCTAAGGCAAGTGATGTTGCTGGATCAACTTCACTTTCAGAGGCTGCAAGCAAGCATTTGCTGGGTTCCTTACTCCCCATGGTTCCTGTATTTAAAAACAGTGTTTAGGAAGAATTTTATTACAGTATGTATGCATGCATGCATGCGTTTTAAATCTGCAACTTTAAAAGTAAAGAAAATGTTTAAGGTCCCCTATCCGTCTGAAAGAAATATCCTTATTTTTTTTAGGGTTCTCCACATTATAAGGTACAGTAATTGCTTTGATTTCTTGCAACATGTCATGGCTAATACTTGAATTTGATTTCAGGCAATTCCAGTATACCATGTTCTAGATATGAGTAAACAACGTAGTCTGAATAATGACAAAAGCTGTTTACCTCTTTAGAAAGTCTCCATACCTTCACTCTTTTTAAATACATTATTTTAGTAACACCTGTGATACTTGTTTATGATCAGTATATATCCCCATATTGACAGCCAGCATGGCATGGTGCTGGACTTGAATGTGATTCTCATCCCTGCTCTGCTATAAAATTTGCTGGATGATTTTGAACTACTAACTCTTTTAACCTAACCTATCTCACAAGATCATTGTGAGGATAGAACAGTAGGAGGAAAGGCAGCAGTGCATGCTTTTCTAGAAACATGGTTGAATGAACATGTACTAGAACAAACAAAATGTCTAAGTAGCGTGCAAATGGACTGAAGCTGAAACAGTAGTTTGCACCAGACCACTTGGTGTGTTCATACAGAGTTGACATTTCAGCTGGCTCATTATCACTACATTAATGTTTATAACTATCTTGTGGGTGCTAGTAAATCAACAACAGTCTTCAAGAACTTCAAGCAAAAAGGAATATGCGTGTGGTAATTTCTGTAATGTTTAAATGGCATGTGCTTATACCCCTGCTTATACATACATCAGTGACAGAAGTGGTGTCTAGGCATTTGAAGGACATCTGCTCAACTGTGTGATGATCTTCTGTTGTGTGCTTTAAAGCTCTACCACCTAAAAGTATGCTTGTTCTGCAGAGTCGACATTGTTGAAGAATGCTGAGCTTCTGCAGCTACTGTTTTCTTTTAAAGTTCCATCTCTTTAAAGCAGGCTTTCATTTATTAGATTGAGTTGAGTTGGCTATACTGAATTTTTGGTGATTGCATGATTAACATCTGAACAGATTACAAACAACACATACTAAACACTATAACTGTTCTAGTCTTAACAGATGTGCATGTGTAACTAGTATTTTATAGTGGAAATGGAGTTAAGTGGGGTTTGTTTGTGTGATGCATCATATTGACAGGAATGATTTTAGGGGTATGTTGTTATGCTTGAGCAGTCATCTACATTTTAAAGATCTTTGTTTCCCTGCAAGCAAAGCTAATGGTTCTGAAAGCATGCATCTTGTTAATTGCTTCCATGGCAATGGAGCCATCCACATTAATTTGTCTTTAAATACCAAAGAATCAGTGTTTTAGAAGAAAAATGTGATCTTGCTTCATTTTCTTTTAATAGCAAAAGCTTATTTAATATAATAGTCAAATTTAGATAAAGCATTAATTGTAAATAACAGAATATAAATCTTTGTGTTGCATATTTAATAGTCATACTATGTTAAATTATTAAGAATAGCTAAGATGTTCCAGGTGGAGCTCTGTTCCATTTAGGGAATACTCAGAGGGCCATACCTCAGTTTATTATGCTGTGTCACAGCTGTTTTATGCACACAGCAAAGTCTATTTGACTGCTGAAGTAAGAGAATCTGATTTCAGAAGAACTGTACCAGGTTTATGAGGCGAGAACTAGGCCATGTTTGATTTGTTGTCTATTATTTATAGGCTTGGTTTGCTCACATAATGAAAACCAAAAGTATGGGTTAAGTATGGATTGGGTTGTTGTTACATGCAAACCATGCATTATGATTCGACAATGGGTCATTAACCACGAACAATCCTGAGTTCACAATCCAACAATAAGCCATTAAATAGTATAGGATGGCACGGAAAAAAGTTATGATTCCATGAATCAAACATGCTGGAAAGAATAAATGACTTGATAGAACAGCAAAGAGAAAGGTGTGATCTTAAGTTTTTTTCTTTAAAAGTTGAGCCAGCAACTTTGGGTCCTCCTAGGTTGGTCCAATTTTTCATACATTGGGAGCCACATGAGGACTTCAACACAGATCCCAGCGGCCACACAATGAGTTATACTTCCATATTCTAAATTAAAGTGTTAGTAATATATTAATTTAATTTAATATACATAGTTAATATATTTAACCATTAAACATGGCAGAAAACCATGTATGAGGTCTCAGAGTTGACTTTTCTTTGCAGAGATTACAGGCAGCACTTTCTCCACAGCCCAAGCACAATGACCTGTCCTCTGGAGTGGCCCATCCTTTCTTCCCTGTTTCTCCCATCCAGAAACCCTCCCATGTGATCCCCCAGACTGCCCTTCCTTCTTGGAATTGGCATGCTGTGCTTCTTGTACTTGAGCCAATGAACTCTCCACAGCATGCCCCACTTGTTCCTGCTGACAAGTGCAAAGGTGCTCCACTCCTGAGCACCTTTGTGTTTGTCAGCTGGAGTGGTGCTCAGCATGCTGGAGCAAGCTCTCACAAGGCCATTGGCCTGACATGCTGTCTTCCTAATCATCAGAAAGAGATCAGGACAGGCCAGCAGCCTTGAGAGAGCTTGCCTCAATCATGCCTGTGCAATTGCTGGGGTCCGGATCTGCAGGAGGAGTGGCCGGGGGCGGGGGGCAGTGGGTTCTGAGCAGCAAGAGGGACACAGAGCAAGCCCTCGGGGGCTCTATACAGCTGTGGGCCTTCTGTTGGACCATCCTATTTTAGATGTGTACTTCTAAAGCTACTAATCAAAAGGTATGGTGCAATTATTCCATTTTCCTTCCTTAAAAGAATTGGTCTTGTAAGGATTAAAAGATGGGAGAATGATGGGAAGTACGGGAAACCTACAAGTGCAAGACAGTTATGCATTGCCCCCATTAAATTATGCAAATGAGCCAGGGTGATAGCATAATAAAAGCCTTGTCTGAAAACACCCTTTTTGCCTTCAAGATGAAACATGCATTGAATCTCACACAATAGATCAACAGAATGAATTCAAAACTTTAAAATTCATAAACTTCATTCATTTTGGCCAGACTGAACGTACTAAAGGATAATGTCTATGAGTCTTTCCAAAGACAGATGCTCATATTTTCAGCTACCTTTAATATGGATATTCTTATACATTATTTCTTTGCCTAAGTACAATAGAACTGTAGTTAACAAGAAAAAAATGCCAGTTTCAAGCACTGTAATCTCAGATTTGGTACATGCATTCAGATTTAGTATCCATTTGTTATGCAGAATAATGTTTCACTGTTAATGAATTGATTTTTATCTAAGGATCTCAGAGTAATTTATCATGGAAAGATCATTATATCCCTAGGAAACTTTAAATATTATTCCTGTTTTATAAAAGGCAGAGGGCAATAATCACAAAGAGATAGTGACTTCACATGACAAACTAAGTCAACTGTCCACTTAACCTGTGGGAGATGGGAGAATTTCAATATAGTGTTTCATACTGACTGAAAGAACTCATTTTTAACCCTCTACTCAAAGAAAACCTGAGTTTCATGATACTGGGTCATAAGACAATGTAGGAGATGCAGGGTAATATAATTTTATATACTATAACAACACTTATGGTATAGTTCCTAATATTTGTAGAAAATATTTTAAAAGTCTAAGGGATTATAAAAATTTCAAAATTATTAGCTTCTTTATTACTAAGTATTTGGTAAAATATACCAAATATTTTAAATAGTTTTTTGCTAAAATATTCCAATCTTGATATTTCTTCAGGCCTCTTCATGGGTTCCTAAGATGCAATTTAACATTATCTAACTTTACATTAACATGAATTATTTGACATAAGATGAGTCAAGCATTTACTGTAAAGATATATTTAAGATTACAACAAGAATTTGCATTTTGCAGAATAGAGATTCAGGCACCAATTTGTCCAGTCTTTCTGTACATGGTACATGCTTGAATTGTCTTACTGTGTGAATAATAGGCATATGTTGTGCTTAGCAATGCACAATCAAGAATTAAAACAGCAACACAAACTGATTAAAAACATTAATTAAGGAATTCGCATCTGATGGAAAAATAGGTTTCTTGCTAATAAAATTGTATCTGAGAAAATTGCTAATAAAATTGTATCTGAGGAACCTCTGACATTAGGTGTTTTGGCAAATTCAGATGATCAATGCTATGAAAATTAATGTTTTATATTGTTTGTTAAGTAAGGGGGGTTATATGCAACTTTTTAAAAACAATAAAATCTTGGTGTTTCTTGCTAGGAAAAACAACTCATGCATTTAAACATGAAATTATAAGTTTAATAAAAATCAGGGCTCAGTAGTATCTAACTTAGCTTTAGGGGTATCAGAGTTTGGCTCCAACAGTAATAAACAGGGCAAATATTTTGTGAGAGAGGCAGTCATATAACCAGTTCCATGCAGTTACATGTAGAAAAAGCCTGCTCTCTGCTCAGCTTGGACCGGCCTTCCGCATCTGGTGCTCTGCAGATGTTCTGGACTTCCATTCCCGTCAGCTTTAGCCAACATGGCCAATGGTCAGGAACATTGGGAATTACAGTCCAAAAACATCCAGCTGGGAAAGTTTGGTTAAAGTGTTGGCTAAATGGACAAAATAGCCTGATCTGGAAGCTTCCTTATGTAATTAATAATTAAAAAGAAACTATTCATATGCAATTAAAAGAATATCTCTCCAGCCTGGTTTTTATGCACTATTTTGAATATCAACATTCAGGCAATATGTGGCCTACTATCTGTGATATGTACTATGACCTGTGAAGCAAATGCCATAGTTTCTGTATATTACTGATAAAGATCTGGTGAACCCTGCTATCCTGACTTGACAATCAACTGATTTAAAAACAAACTAACATACATCATTTTTTTAAAGTTTAAGTTTTGGTTGAATAATGTATATAACATATAAAGTACAGTATTGACAATAAGGGTGGTGCTACCGGAGAACAACAACCCCACATACAGTGCATACTCAGATACATTTTGAGCCATGTGCAGTAAAATCTGGAAGCTTAGAGGTGAAAAATTAGGAAAGAAAAAACTTCCAAGAGACTTGCAAGACTTGGAGTATTAATATATAAATTCATACTAATATTAGAATTAATGGAAATGTTAGAATTGATGTCATCGTCTTGCAATGCGGTAACTGGCATCACCCTAGTTTACATTCCGTACTGAAATTTAAATGTGTAGTCCTACCAACTAGTCTTTCTATGATACTGCCAAAAAAGTTCATTCTAAAACATCCCTAAATTTCAACCTCCTGCAATTTGCATTTTTTTCTATAACCACAACATGCCTGGGGCACAAAGAGTCTCAGAATCTCTATAGGTATAATTGTATTGGGTGCTTTTTTACCCTCTAAATTTACCTCAAACAGAGGAACAGAATAAGGTCCAATATAGATCATCTTGTCTTTTGAAAACGAAGATATTTAGTTAAACGCTCCAGCAAACAGCATTAAAGTCCACTGAAGGGAAGCTTTACTATGATTTTTTAAAAAGGTAGTAGGTCAAATTATAGTAATACTAAGAAAAGTAATGTAATGTTATGCAATTTTTTTGTTTTGCATAGCCTCAGGAAGAACTAAACCTTGAATTACCTGTACTTGTTGAGAGCTGAAAGTCATTCTTAAGATTTTTTCATAAACAGCATTATAATCTCCTGAGGCACTTTTGTCAAAAATGCCCCCAAGTGGGACTAATACTATTTTATTCTTAACATAGGAAGTTAGGATACACACAATGCTTCTTAAAGTCCTTTTCTTCTCTACTCAGTATTTGACTTCAGTTGGAGAAATCATGTCTATCTCTTTCTGGCATATTTTTCCTGCCATTAAATGCATGTGGACTGAAAGTGGGAAGGTGAAGTACACAGGAGTACAAGTAGTTAAGAATAACTGGCATTCCATGGCGTACTGCTTCCTTACCTTCATCACTGAGGGACTGTGAGGCTGGAGATGAAAGATTCCACATCTCATTATCAGCTCCTTTAGCCATCATGTCATTACCTAAAATGTAAGACATATTGCATTACTAATAAGGTATATGCTCTATAAAAACAATTCCCCCTTAGAAACAAAAATTTCACTGTGCTACAATCCACCTATCACCAAATTCTCCATCGTACAGAAAAACAGCATAGATCTTATCACTTAAGAGTGCAGAGGCAACATTATTGTGTCATACCTGCAGATACTGCAGTTCACTGATATTTTTCCTGGAGTGTGTGAACTTAAGATGTAGTGCATTTTTGAAACCAATTTTTGAAAACATTTGTGCAACACAACCTGGTTTCTGCAGCTGTATGCAAAAGCTGTTAAGTCCAAAGCTGAAACAGCACCACTTGTTCAACAACATTACCCACAAAGAGGTATTTGCAATTGTGTAATAGCATAACCAAATCAAAGGAAATTTTCAGGAGAGGCCACATCATTACCTCCTTCAAGGCAGCAGGGATCAACTGTCTTGCAGTGATGCATTCTCCACTCTCCGATCTAACTGAACAGTCCCACACAGCTAGCTCAAATAAGCAATTATAGGAAAAGGAAAAGAGATCACATGGTGGTCATAGCCTGAGGAGGTTTTGTTTACCTCCTCAGGCTTCAAAAACTGAAATGGGTTGCACAAGACAAGGCACTGGACATCTCAACTGATACTGTATCAATAGTTCCATTCAAGTCAGGATGGTGGTGAGCAATTTGATCCTCAAAATGTTCAGTAAACCTATCATAGCAGGCCTCTGGGGGGTTTGTCCTGGATTCACTGGGCTAGATGAAACGAACCATCAGATCACTCAGAAAAGCTCATTTGATTATTCAAGGACATGATGGAGACAGCAAAGTAAGCCGCCTTGTGCATGTAGTGGACTAATTATATGCTCTCACACGTGTTAGATTGCCCTGATTATTTTATGCCCCTTGACTGATCATATGCCACTTAGAACAGCCATCTCCTGGCCTGTTTCTTTGTGTAAAGTCAAACCAAACCCTGTAGTACCAAAGAGAATGCTTAGGAATTATTGTGCTGATGGCCTATAACACTTCACCAGTCTACAACAACAGGACCTCACCAGAATTATCAGCACTAGCTAATGGAAAACCCGTCAGACCATCTTTTAGAATCCATAGGTCTCTGAGGGTAAACAAATTTAATTGGTTCCCAATCTCTGCAGAGCAGGACTAACATGGTGAAGTTATCTCAGTATGACTCATAAACAAATGGCCCGATTCAGAGTGCTTACAGTAACATGCAACACCCTAAATAGCTTGGGGCCAGGATATCTGAAGGAATGCCTCTCTTCATATTTCCAGCCTGATTAGAGTTCTTTATCTGTGGCCCTTCTTTGAATTCCTTTCCCCAGAGAAATAAGTTGGGCAATGGCTTAGAGCCTTTTCTGCAATAGTGCTCCACTTGTGGAACATGTTTCCAGCTAAGATTCACCAGGCATATACTCTCTCCTCATTCATATACCAATCAAAAACATTTTTTTCACATACAGTTCAGTGAGTTAGTGGGTTGATTTTATAATGATTGATTATATTTGTTTTTATTGTTGTTACTGCCTTATTAGTTTAGCCACCAGACAATTTCATTTAGATGATTGTCATAATTTGAATGTTCAAATAGATTTAGTATTAAGTGAATGTTGATTTTATTGCACTATTTTATTGATTTTTATGCAGTGTTTATATGGGATTAATTGTTGTTGTTGACTGTAATGCAAGCTGCCCAGAAAGCCTCACAGCTATGGGTGTGGCATACAAGTGAAATGAATAAATAAATAAATAAATAAATAAAGAGGAGTAGGTGGAATAGGTGGTGTCTTAACCCTCTGAGGTACTCTTCACATCTTGTTGCACCTTTTTGCCCCTGGTTTGCACCTGCCTCTGGTTGGTAGATCTTGGGATTATATTAAACAACAAAGTAGATAGTGCAATAAAAATAAATGTAAAACAACAAAGTAGATACCACTAGCCTTAAGTCCACGAATCCTGAATTGGTTAAGGGCTAAGCAGGAGGTGCACTGGGAACTCTTGGTAGGTGTTTGAGCGATTTTCAGCAGACCAGCAAGAATTTCTGACTCCCAATTGGTTAGGAATATGAGCCGCAACAAATGATTTCCACATGCCCTAAATTATACTGCTCAAAAGAAGAAAGCTTGGGTAACCAAGAACAGATTCTTCTGTGAGGCCCATTCAGTTCTTGTAGTTGAAAAATATTACTAGGCTCAGATGTCTGTAATTCTGTTTTTGTACAGGGCCTGGCTGGTGGTTCTCAGGATACTAATTTTTAAAAAGCAGATCCCACAAGCCCGAGTTCTGACCAGCCCTGCATTCAGTGATTGATTTTCTCTAACAACATTAAGTGTATTTCTAACTGTGACTTGTTTTTGTGTTGATTTTTCTAGAATTGCTGAATGGTTCTACAAGTCTTGCTCCCCACTAATCCCCCCAAAGAAAATAATAGTCCAAAAATCAATGCAGAGTAAATTGAAAAAAGTGGGGAGGTTAAAAAATGGTTTATGTGCTGCTATTGTGTTTCACAGTGCTATTACTGAAAACAATATACTGCAACTTTATTTTGTGATGCACCTTTCATAAATGCTGTTTTGAAAGCATATGTTACAAGTAATAAATAGTAGTGGGAAGAGAAATTCAGACTATGGAACAGTCTTCTCAAATTAAATTTGAAGCAACATGGAAAATTGAGTCTGTGAGACAAAGCTACAGGAAAGTTGATTATGAGCCAGGCTGTCTGAAGACTGGAGATATTTTAGAAAAGTAAAGAGGAGTAAATTATGAGCTAAGAATCTTCTTTTTTACACAACTATCAAAATAGTGGTAGATAAAATAAGTTGACCCTGTTCAGATGTAATATGGTAACTCATGGGTTAATTCATTAATCCAGGGGACTCTTTTAGCAACCTGTGAGTTTGGCATTTGCAGATTATTTCTTTGACATCTGAACTCAGGCATAGAGTTGTTCTTGGGTTAATGAGCCCAGAGTAACCCAAGAACAAGAATTAACCCACAAATTGCCACCAGCCACATCCATTATGTCCAAAAGGCTTCTCTTTGTTCATTACACTTTGAATCTACAATACCAACTTTCTAACAAGTGATTCCAAAATATAGTTTACAGCAGAAGAATTTCTCATGCCCTGTTGTGTGACTTTGCTTCTTGTACATAAAGGTATGACTATTCTGCTGGGTCAAGAAGCCCAGAGTCCTCTTCATTGTTGCTTTCTGTGTATGTTTTTAAAATATCTTACACAGTACTTTCATTTTGAGTTGGAGTGACTTGCTATATCATGGATTGATTTTTTTTTACTTTTTATATTTGTTTATTTTACAATTTAACTGAGAAGGTATTAGCTGTAAGTTTGATTCATCAGTTATACTCTACTTATGTCCAAACACCTTATTCCACCAAGGCCAGTATTCCAAGTTGCAATGCTCCAAACAGGAAACTGCTCCATCTTTTACAAACTAGTCCTGTCTCCATGGAAACTAGAAGGCCAGATATTATACATAGAATACTACTTTGCCCTTTGTTAGGGATTCAGATAGCCTGTAACTACATCTTCAGTAGATGAACAGTATCATACGGAAAGGAAATAAAGGTATAGTATGAGAAATACTTGAATGTGTTTTATTTTTAAATATGGCTTAATAAACGAGGTGTTTCATGAACTTGAACGATGAGAGGAAGTCTTATGAGGGAGTCCTTGATAATACTACTCTCTCCTCCTCTGATGCTATATGATCTTCAGTAATAATTGAGGATTAAAATAGAGACCTTGGAATTCTGAATTTCATTTTGTCAACTTGAGTAATGTGCTTATCCAGATATGTTGTATTTGTACAGAAAACAACTCACATACTTTAACAGAAACTACCTGACTAAAGTCATAAACATCAGGATAACATGAGAGTTAATCTGTGTCATTCTAAGTGTTGCTTTTTATGCATGTAATAATAATACTGTATACAACGTATGAAGACATTCTGAATGAAACTATGGTTATAAAGACTGCATTGAATTCATTCATTCAGTTTCAGATACAATTTAGACTAATTCTGCCTTATGTTTTTGCATAACACCTACAGTTATATGTCAGCATGTATTTTAGTATCAGTGAAAACACACCTGTCATCTTAATTCACAACCTTTGATCATGGTGTTTGCTAAATTTAAATGTTAATAAAACTTTGGTTTCAAGATAAATAACTTAGTCTGATTACAGTTGGGCACATAACAGGGCCTTTACAGTAGTGGCACCAAAATGATGGAATATGAAAGTTAAGAATAGAACAGCCAGGATGTTAACAGGGACCAGCAGATATGCCTATATAACATCAGTCCTTTCACATCTACACTGGCTCCCAGTTGAAGTATGGACCCAATTTAAGGTGTTGATGATGTCTTCTAAAGCTCTAAACAGTTTAGAACCTGGATATCTGAAAGAGTGTCTCCTTTCATATATACTGCCCCTTAAGATCTGGATCGGAAGTCCTTCTTTGGGAGCCCTCCTAGGAGGAGATCAGGAGAGTGGCTACCTAGAGAAGGGCCTTCTCAGTGGTGGCAGCCCTGTTATGGAACATGCTCTCCAGAGAGGTGTGCCTGCTGCCGACACTTTATTCATTTTAGCACCAGGCCAAAACCTTTTTATTTTCCCAATATTTTAAGTTCTGATGTTGATTTATAGATGGGTTTTCTTGTTACTAATTGATGTTTGATGCTGTGCTTTTCCTGTATTACCATTCTGAAAAGAAAAGCTTTTAATTAAATAATTACATATTTTTCCTCAGGAAGCTTAGTTCTTCCTTCTTTTTGAGTCTTTAGGAGAATCATCGTATGTTCTGATTTTTCCTGATAGTTTTATATTTGTACCTTGCTACTACCAGTTGTTTAGTTTTCCTATGCTTTTTAATTCAGGTGTTTTGTTTCCTGATGCGAGTTTTGGTGGGGGGTGTTATTGTCCTGATTCACATGTGGGTTAAAAAGATCATAGTGGCTTGTTTGAGCCACAGCACATCCTGGGCACAATTTGTGTAATCGTCTGCCTGGGCACAGCTTATCATGTAATCCAAACCCATGTGGCATGGTTTGTTGGAGGGGAAAAAACCCTCAAATAGCTCAACATGATACAAATTTAATACATATATATAATTTGAATTTAAAATAAATACATGAATTATGATGAAAAATAGAATGCAATATGAGATGGGCAAATGTTCCAAACTATATACCACATTTAACATAAATGTTTCAAGAAGAATGATTATAAAAATAATGTTTTAAATTGAGATATTTTATTTTTTTACCATAGTAAGTAGTTTCCACTTTTTACAATAATCAGTACCCTATCTCTATTAATTTTCTTTTGTTCTATTATAATGAGCTACTTTAGCCATGACTGCTAGGCAACACATCTTGTTTTATCAGTCTTTCATAGAAGTGAGTTTTTAAGATCTCCAGTGCTTTGAAAACAATATCCAAGCAGAAGGAAACCCATAAGCCATAAATTCCTTTGGCTCATGAACCATTTTACCCCTGCAATAAAATTCAAAATGAAAATTACTAGATCCAAAAATAACCTTAAATCTTTCCAATAATAATTTTATACTTTTTATACTTTTGAGCTAAAGCACATTTTCTTTAATTTCTTGTTCTTTCTTTGAAC